CACGAGAAGTGCAAAAACGCATAATCGCACCGGCCCGCCTGGTGCGTTCCAGCCTGGGTTGCTTGCTGTTCCTCGGCCCCGGATTTATATCTTAAGATGATTCCGGAATCATTTGTGGCTTTTTTGTTTGTGTTACCTTTTCTCCTTTTCTTGCCTGTCTTGAATGTGTGTGAGTACGTGTTTATCTATGAACTTGCAGGGCATTAGGTGATGAACTTCACATCGGTTACTGTTTCCCTGTCCCGGATGTGCGAGATGTGTAGATCTGGAATTTTGGCTTATGTCCGGAATTTCTCCTCTTTTTTTGTTGACCTTTGCCCTTTCCTGCTCTTTCGTTTCTTGCGACTCAACGTATTTACTGCTGTAGAATGTCATGAACACTACGCATTGTCTGGCGTGTCATTTTGGAAAAGGAAGTTGAGTGACCTGGTGGTGTAGCAGTCTACGGCACGGCTTGCACACTCCGGTTTGCTTCATATTCAATTTTGAGCTAATCAAATTTTTTTTTTTGTGAAATCTTTACCATCACCTGCAGGAAAAGACGTTTTCTAACCTACGGCACAGTCTTTTTATGCGTTTTTGCTTATGTGCAAATTGCAAAAACGCATGTTGTGACGACCCATGGTGTGCGTATGTTCGTGTGTGTGTGCGTATGTCCGGGTATTTCAACTCGGCACCTAAGCAGACTCCAGCGCCAAAATCTTGCCTACGGTTTCCCCGGCCAATTATCACTCCAGGACCGCACCACCAACTCTCACGCAAGTCTGGGCCCCACGTACGAGAGGGTGAAAGTTTTGGCGAAAAAATCGCCAACTCGGAAACTAGAAAAGCCAGGAAGCTGAAATCATGGGGTTATGTCCACGTCCATCTGGAAGTCAAAGATTTCAAATTCAGCCCCCAGATGTGCGTGGTTCCCGCGTACGGCGCCGTAAGGGTTCCTGATGCTAAAATCGCTAATTTGGGAAGCCAGAGAAGCTGGAAGTCTGAAATTTCAGGGGAATGTTCCCAGCCCTTGTACAACTTAAATTTATGAAATTTATCCTCCAGGCGTGCGTAGCTGCTACGTATGGCCACATGAAACTTTTCGGCGAGAAAATGGCTTACTCGGAAACTAGGGAAGTTGGGAGGCTGAAATTTTAAGAGGATGTTCCCTATCCAGTTATCGCATAGACAATTAATGTCACACGTTTCTAGCTACTGGGTTTTTCAGCGACCTCATTACAGCACGGAAAACTGCAAAAACGCATGATCGCACGGCCCCGCCCGGTGCCCGTCATCAACGATTTTTAGAGATGGTGAGGAAGGGCAACATGGGAGAAAAGAGGTACCGGAGAGGGTGAAGCAGTTGGGAAAGATGGGACACACGGAATCTTCATTTATCAGGCAAAAGGAAACTCGGCAAGCATGAATTAACAGAAACAGCATGCACGTTTGAGCAAGGAAAACTAAATGCAATATTTTTAAGTGGTTATTGGCTGAAATTTTGTGAAAAATCATTTTTCAAGATTTGCGTCTTGAACTGTTTGTTTTTTCGTTTGGACCGAATTTTTCATTACTTTTTTTCAGATGCCATTTTGCGTCTCATGCCGCGCAGCAGTGTTTCTGCTTTCATGTTGTATATATTTAGCATATTGTTGTGGTCCAAATATTCTGTCCTATAACACTGCTCGTTTGCAAGCCAAAATGAACTACGATCAAGCTGTAGAAGTGAAAGAAATGCAACGGAGAAAGAAAATGCAAGCCGTTTTTGATAACGCTGGTTCAGAACTTGCCAGTGCAAAGGATGAAATACGTCTGCATCCTGGTTAGCGTGCTCTGCTTCCGACCTTAACTCCGCTGATTCAGCAGGTGTCTGGCTAGCACCTTTTAATAATACTTTGCATGTAGTTATCCGTGAGCACTTCCGTTTTGCATACGTTTCCTATTCCCCGCCCTGAGATCTTCTTTTGTAAACTGGTTTAAAAAGACAGTATGAACAGTGATGGTAAAGTTTTAACCACTGGCACCTTGATGATTATATAGCCCTTACTTTAAGCAAAACTCGTAAAATGGATGAGACATTGCAGAAGACGAAGGTACAAAGTGAAGTGAACTTGAACATGGACAGACCAAAAACCAAATTGAGTAAAATGCCTTTGCGCCCGCTTTCAAACTGCAGGTGCATGTTGAATTAGAAAAAGTTGACAAATGGCGTTTACTTAGACCAGAAAGTAAACATGCATGTAGATTTCCCAGGTAAAGACTGCTCGTGCAGAGACTGCTGATTGGCGCAAATTTCACAGAATCGCCGGCATCCTCAAGGTATTGAAACTGAAGGACCGTGTAATACATTAAGGCTTACCCTTAGATCAGTGGCGCGGAAGATATCACTGCATTTATGCAATAAAATACAATTCATTGCGCAGGACATGTTGCTCGTCTTGTTGACAGTTGATGGATTTCGCGTATCAATTAGGTGGAAAACTTTGGTGAAAAAAAAAAAAAAAAATGATTATTCGAGTGATCTTCCAAAAGGGGGCATGCAAAATATAATGCAGGCAGTGATTGCCAACTGGAGACATGCGTTTCATAAGAGCTGTAACTGAGCCAGATATTTCGGTGCTTCCCAGTGATTTATTAACGCAAGATTTCAAAACCAAATGGCCGGATAATTTTGGCAAAAGCAAAATTGAAAGCATATGTTTAAAAAATACATAAAAAGTGACTCAGTTTGTGATTTTTGAAAAAAAAGCAAATTTAGCTGAAAAACGCAACGATCGTCCCAAATGCCAGCAGTGTGAAATCCTGGATCCCAGCACGGCGCTCTCAGAATGTCCAGTGTTGATCAAAGAGCTTCAGTGTCAACCCTATGTTGTTGAATATAGAGGTGAAGATTGCTTGCTTGCGAATATAACGTGCCCACAGCCAACGCTACCAAACGAAGATGTCGCGGTATATCTCGGCGTTGTTGGACTTGATCTCAGTAACCGGTTAGTTCTCATCTTGCAAAATGACCCAAGCTAGCGCAGGAACATTCCTCTCAATGGATCTTAAGGCGTATTGAATCTACTGGACTACGCCTTCACTAGTAACTGGGGATCAAAAAGAATAGTTAAAGACGAGCCTGGAATAGAGGCGTTAGTCAAGTGACGGTGTTTCAACAAAATTCTTTGCTTAATATGGCGTGGTGCAGCTGGTAATTTCCAGCACAGATTGTTTAAACAAACGCCGCTCAACATTTTTATTACACGCCCGCCGTGCGACCACAGCGAGAGAAACGAGGAGATGCCCCTTTCTGTTTGTGGCGAGCAGCTATGCCTGATCCTTCTCTCTTGAGCTGCTTGACTGAAATTACGTCCTCCTGTTTTATGCACGCGTGCAGCATCTTCTGGGGCAGACTAAATGTCATTTTTTTCTCTCGAGTACCAGTCGCTGATAAAAGGCGCCAACCTTAGCAAAGCAGGAGACCAACTCTGCTGCTTATGGTATGTCTGACTTTCGATATCTTCTCGAAAAGACGTCTCAAACGCATTTTCAGTTACATCGAGCGTTTGCTTTCTTCTTTCGCTTACGTTTTGTATGCATTTGTTATGAGTTTGTATATCCTTGACAAAATGCAAAAGCACACATTTTCGTCGGTGTGCATGTGAGTGTGTATCTGTAGTTTGTCTTCCACCTTCAACTCAGTGACCAAAGAAGTTAAGAAAGAGAAATTTTGCGAGGATGCTCCCAGTTACGTGTGATCCAACTAGCAATGTTCACTAATGTTTTGGTTTCACTCGTAGGCACCTAAAAGAAAACTTAAGAAGTTTTGGCAGGCAACAGAGGAAGCCGAAGTTTCACCACAGGAAGCCGGAATTTCTCGAGGATGAGGGAATGAAGGAATCTAAAAATTTCATAATCATTTGTTAGGAATATATGGACACGTCGAAATTCTTATTCGTTATTAGCACTACGCCAACTTAACGCGAAAATGAAAAATAAGTCTCTGCGGGAGCCCCTAAGTATAAAATGAATTTTAGTGTACTCAAGTGTTATGTCAGTAATGTTTATTTAAGAAAGTGATCTGAGAAACCTGTTAAGCTAGAGGCTGAAATTTTACGAAGATATTTAACTTCGATGTACGATCTAAACATTTTGAATTCAGCTTTGGAGCAAGCTTATGTTTTGCGTACGATCATTCACACTGTTAACAATCTGCATGTTTTACGAAACCACGCAGTAATGCATGATCGGCAACTCTGATGCTTACCGTTAATTAAAAGTGACGCTGAAAAATATTGAATTCGAGCTTTCGGTGCGTTTTGTGCAACATACAGAACAAACCCAGGCTGGAACGCACCAGGCGGATCGGTGCGATTATGCGTTTTTACACTTTTCGTGCCGTAGCAAAATCGCAAGGAATCAGAGTAGCTAACCCTGTGAAATACTGGCCTTTGAAGTTCGGGAAGTAAATTGTGCAGCTATGTGGTATGTCAGTTGTAGGTGTCGATTTCAGTGACCCGACAAATGGGAAGTTGCTGGTCCGCAAAAAAAGGCCACACTAGAAGAGTTAAGTTTAAAATCTTTTAGTCGCACATGAGCAGAAAACATTCCCTTAAAATTACAGCCTTCAGCCTTTCTCGTTCCTGAGTTAGCAGTTTTCCGATCAAGATTTTCACGTGTCCGTACGTGAGTACTGGACGGTTTTAAGGAGCTGAATTTAAAATCTTTTGGTCATACATGGATACGGAGCGTTACCCTAAAGTTTCAGCTTTCTAGCTTTTCCCGATGCCGGGTTAGTAATTTTCGCGTCAAAATTTCCACGCGCTCGTACGTGGGCTCGGGCGCTTCTAAATACCTGATTTTGCTCGTACATGAGTAGGGAACATTCCCCGAAAGTTTCAGATTTCTAGCTTTCTCCCTTTTCCAGATTATAAATTTTCGCCCCAAAATTTCCACGAGCTTGTACCTGGGCTCGGGCGCTTCTAAACATCTGATTTTGCTCGTACGTGAGTACGAAACATTCCCTTAAAGTTTCAGCTTTTCCCGTTTCCGAGTTAGTAATTTTAGCGCCAAAATTTCCACGTGCCCGTACGTGAGCCCCTGGTGGTCCTAAGAAGCTGAGTTTGAAAACTCTTGATCGTGTATGAGTATGG